ACTGTGTAACTCAGGCATGAATGCCCGGCGTTTATCAGTAAACAGGGTTTTCAAAGACTGTGCCTTTATTACTTCTATATACTGAACAGTACTGAGTTAACGAATTATAATGATTATTAACATCTGAATGTAGTCCAAATTCAGCTGCTTAACAAAGAGTCTGCAAAGTTTCTATCATCGTTTTCCGCTTTATTTTATGCAGATAAGACGTGCGCCTTCTTGTCGGTCAGCTTTTGTAGACGCAGATTATCCGTTTGCTGGCCATTTCCTGGGCCTAGCTCCAAATCAAAATTGTTGTGCAAATTTTAAGGGCTTACTTTGAGTTTAATGGTCGTCTAACACGCCAAGGGGCTGAAATTAGAAAAATGTCCGCTTTTAACCACTGACTCATAATCTTTGGATGTCTCAAATGTTACAATTTATCTATTGAGTTATAACGGTATTACTTGACGGGGTCCCTGGTGTCCTTGAAAACTCAACTCTACTCAGAAGCGCTGCGTTTGAGCTTTGGCGAATTTCCTTCTGAGATAGTTAGTTACAGCACCCCATATTTTTCATCGTATTTTGCAGCTGATTTATGCAAATCGATGTTCAGTGTATGTTTATTTATTGCTTGTTTCAAAAACTTACGAGATTGTGTTCACCCATGGGTGAACACAATCGACTAAGGTAGCATTTGGAAAAAAATTCGATTGCGAGAAAATACTTGAAATTGATATGAGATATCCCGAATGACTATCACATTTTAATGTTGTTGGATGTCTTCCTTGCATTTCACCGAAAGCCATCATACAAATATTTGTAATTTCATAACTTTATATTCTGTACAGAATGCGGAGTGCATTGGTACTTATCCTTCCCAGTCTTCGCGATCCCAACGTCCGTTGATTTCAATCAGGGCGTACTCGTCGTCAACGGAGAAACAGGCATACTTCCGGATGGACGACGGCAATAGGCAACTTTTCAATGTGGTCTCCATATTAGCTTTAAAAACTTTTAGAAGGCGTGAATCCTCAGGATAATTAAATTAATCGTCCACATTCACGTAATCGACGTACAGTAAGCCTAGTTCACCCGTGGGGTAGCGTAGTAAACAACGTATAGCTGCAACTAACAGAAGAAAATGATGCGAATATTTCTTTGGAAGCACATTTCTAAGAACTAGAACTCCTGTGTAT